CTCCATAACTATGTGCTATATGTGGCAACATATACCGATCTGGAGATTGAAAAATGGACCACAGTGAGCAATGTTCTCCATAACTATGTGCTATATGTGGCAACATATACCGATCTGGAGATTGAAAAATGGACCACAGTCTCCATAACTATGTGCTATATGTGGCAACATATACCGATCTGGAGATTGAAAAATGGACCACAGTGAGCAATGTTTCTGGGCCTTAAGTGCAGTACCAAAACCAAAATAACAAGAGACAGGCTAAGAATTTGCAGAATGTAGTTGATCATTTTAAGGCCTTGAGCTATACATGAGATAAGTGATTTCCATAGAACCACATATAAAATAGGGTCATTCTACATAAACCATCTTTTATTGTCAATTTATATATAAACCAACATTGAACAGTTTTTTGTTGCAATCAACCAACTGGATTTACTATTCTGAAAGTTTTTTTCAGTTAGATGTCAGAAACCAAGTATAGCAGGGAGACAATCATTAATTGAGGTTAGGTGGGGTCAATTATTTTGGTTGGGGTGGGGGAACTCAAATGAAAAGTGATTCCAAGTGGTTGATTGTAACAAAAAAACCTTCAATGATGATATATATATAAATTAAGTGATGACCAAGTAAATCAACAAGTCAGATGGGTTACCGGAAAGTTTGTGGGGGCAGAGGGTCCCCAATACTTCAAAGCTGCAAGATCATATGCCCTGGCAGCCTTTTCCTCCTTATCATATCCACCTGCATCACATTACCCAGACAACATAAAATCTCAATTAAATCAAAAGTTACTCACATGATTGAGAAAAGAGAAGCTCACCCAAGTACACTGTAGAGAACCATTAGTTATATATACCAGCCCGTGTCAGATAACATGCAACAAACAGACAACAGGTAAAACTCCAGTTAGCCAAATATAATTCTAATTTGCTGGATCCATCCTATAATCACCAGAATTAACTATGAAAGGGAATAAAAAAACACAACTAGGCCACTAAACATTAGGTAGTAATTTTTAGTGTTTTTTCACGAGCTTTAATCTTAAAATGCCTTTTGACTTTTGGTTTTGTCTTTCTTTGAGTTAATTTAAAAAAAAACAATATGCTGGTAGTAAACAGAACTTATAACCTTTAACTATATACAGAAAATTATGACTGTGCCTGTATAATCAGAGCACCAGCTGCATGTATATATAATGAACTGCTGAAAGATTTAAAATTCGTTATGACCAAAAACAAACACAATGCCAACTGTTTCTTTTAAAACTAACAGCCTCCACAACGGTTGCGAGCCAAACCTCAAAAGACGAACTCGCAAGTGGACAAGTTATTCTTTTGGCAAATACTATAGGCCAAGGCGCTGTTGCTTCAGGCTTGAAATATCATCCAGAGATCATCATTTTAAAATTAAAAAAATTAAACAGTTGATTGTATATCGGTGGATGAAGAAAGTCAGCAAAGCAGTTTCACAGGTGAAAGCATAATCCGCAGCAAAGAGGCTTGGTGCAAGCTCATGAATATAATGATAAATAAGCAAAGAGGCTTGGTGCAAGCTCATGAATATAATGATAAATAGAAGGCATGTTCATATAAAATTGCACTAGTGGATAGACCTATTTTGTTGGATTTGGGTCCATGTCAGTGGACTCTTCTCTTGGTGATTTGGAAGGAGATCAGACAACTTCGATCCCAGTTGTATTAATCCACAAAAGTAGGGTTGCAACTTCTTATACACATGTCGTATTCATCGTTCCAATATCATCATCCTAATCCAACTGTTCTTGGAAAGAAAGACTAATCCTGAATTTTAGGCATATGATGGCGAGGTTATTCAGTGACTACAAACCATATAACAAAATATGTATGAATTTTTGAAGTCCTACTGGAACAAATTTTAATATGCTATCTGGCAAAAATAACTTAAACACTGTTTGTAACTCTCCCTCATCCAATTTTATATTTTTATATTTTCTTTTTTTTTTACATTTTTTTCTCTATTTTCCTTTCATTCTTTCTTTTTTTGTTAGAATAAGTTTTTTCTATTTAAGGGAAAAGTTTTGGAGTGTTATAAATGAAGTATAAGGGCATTCTACAGCTACAAAGCAATGGGAATTCAAACATAAATTTATAAATACATAATATATGTATGTGTGTGTCTATATATACACATACACATAAATAAAGAAATATTATGAGTTCTCAAGCAGTTCCAATGATAGCATAGCTTCAGAGCCATAACCCTCCTTGCACAAAAGAGCAAAGGGTGATGAGAGAGGTTGGCATGTTGCGTGCATGAAGAAACTGGCCTTGTTCTCCTCTGGATAACGAAAAGGAGTCAGTCCAAGGTTTTACGCCAACACCAGTCCAAGAAATTAAACTTTTAAAAGCTTTAGGAGGCGCAGGGACTAGACATGAAACTCCTGAAACGGGCAGCAAATGTTCATGTACTTCGCTCAATTATACACCAGGCAAGT